GCTGAGGCAGGAGGATTGCTGTGAGTTCGAGACCAGCCTGGGCTACATAGTAAGTTCCAGGTCAGTCTCAAATACATAGTGAGACCCTGTTTCAAAAAACCAAAAAAAAAAAGAAAAAAAGAGTGAGAGGAGAGGTAATCACTTCTATTGTCCATTTGTTCATTCTAAGTAGAAATTGTGCCTTTTACTGCTCTACTAAGACTGAGACCATTCTGGGGCAGGGATTTAGCTCAGAGGTTCTGTCGCCTGCCCCGCCTGCCTCGCAAGCCCAAGGACCAGAGTTCGATCCCTGGTACCAAAAAAAAAAAAAAAAAAAAAAAAAAACCATTCTGCTTTAACATTGTTTCTTTTTTCTAGGCTGATCAAAATGTCATCATTTAGGTAAATCAAAGGCACTTAAAATATTTGTTATATGGGTTTAGTTAAAAAACACATAGTCATATTTCTGAAACTTCCATGTCTGGTATTTCTAAAAGGTTCAACTTCCAAATGTTAAATTAACACTTGGGTATAACCAGTCCAGAATCTATATGCTTAGACCACACTTCGGTACTACATGCTAGGTCCACTCATCTGTCCATCCATTCAACAACTATTTAACGAGTACTTACTGTGAGCCTAATACAACACTAGCTGCTACTAACAAAGACTAAGATACTCAGAGTACCTTCCTCTTGTGGATGGCTAGCAAAGAAAAAGACAATGAACCAATAATTATACAATTAATTATAACTTTGACAACTGCTATGAAAAAGCATGGGGAGTTCTGAGAACTGATGTCAGGGATGTAATTTAATCTAGTTGAGAGGCTGGAGTTGTCAGGGAAGGTTTCCCTGAGACAATATTAAGAGTCAGGTCCTGAGGACTGAGCAGACTTAAGATGGGCAGAGGAGTTAGGTTTGAAGAAGAGAAGCCGACAGAGCCCGGAGAAGAGCAGAAACATTATAAACATCTTACTGACATGGAGGCCCAGAGTCCACAGGACCCAGTGAAAGACGCTTGGCGAGACTGCAGAGATCTGACAGGAGACAGGACAAATTGAGGCAGGATGGTAGACAGGGGCCAGATGTCTCTAGGGACCACTGTCTGGATGTCAGCTGCTGTGGCTCTTGTAGTCACTATAAACACTACTAAGTAAAATATGAGATTGTCTTAGTCCCTTCCTGAGTCATCTGTTCCTCCTGATTACCATTTAGTGAAAGGTAATAGCCAGCCAGCCTACACAAACACCTGCAAGTTACCTCATCCACAGACAGTCAACAAGTCCGGCAGATCCAATCATTCAGTATTTCCAGACTCTGTCCCCTCACCTCACATACAAAGCCTCTACCTGGATTACTACCAGAGTCTTCAACTGTCTCCCTGCTTTCATTCTTAACCACTCTAATATCCCTCCCACAAGGGCACCTATCACCATTTCATGGCTCCAAATTCCTTAGTATAGTATCTCTCCTGTGCATTCAGAATTAAGTTAAAATTCCTTAGCCTGGTAGAAAAAGTCCTTCAAGGTCTGGATTCCAACTTTGAAGGTAAATATAAATGTAAATAAATACAAATAATATATATATTATAAAAGAATCCAGAAAATAAAACATTAACAAAAGGTATCTGTCAGAGTGGTAGGATTTTGGATGATTTCTTAGGATACTCAAAGTTTTCTATACTATGCATATCCATTTTTATTTGCAACCAGAAAAAAAAAATGTATTATTGTTTGAGGCAGGAGGATCACTGTAAGTTCAAGGCCAGCCTGGGCTACATGATGAGTTCAAGGCCAGCCTGAACTACAAAGTGAGACCCTGCCTCAAAAATAAATACATAAATAAAAACTTTAAAATATATATATATTATTGTTTAAATGACAAGCAATATCTTTATCCCCCCGTCTTGTGTCAAATGCTTCACTTTGGCTATATGCTGTATAAGAGATTTTATAGTTATCTCAAGGAAATTTTGTATTAAAAAAAACAAAGTGGAAAACTGTATGCTTAAAGTGACAGGCAAATTTTATGTTGTATACATTTTAGCACAATTTAAAAAAATCAAAGTGGATTCTGAATAATTCATGACACAAAATGCCTGGCTATAATATTAAAATTAACAAATCCTAATAGCTCTACCATCTTTTGTACTTTATTAGCCCACTTTTTTGTTTTTGTTTTTTTAAGACAGGGTCTCACTATGTAGTTGAGACTGACCTGGAACTCACTATGTAGCCCACGCTGGTCTCGAACTCACAGTGATCCTCCTGCCTCAGCCTCCCAATGCTGGGATTCTAAGCATGCACCACCACGCCCGGCTATTCCTTTGGACTTTAAACCTGATCATTTATATAGACGCTGCCATTACAAAGTTTCCCTTTGCTTGGTTAGTACAGAGTGTGAACAGAATATGGTATGAAGACCACAGGCTGTGAAGTGAGAAGTTTCTAGCTCAGGTATTAACAGTGTGATTCTGGAGATGACATTTTATTCTGCTTGCTCTTAGAGGACAATACATCCTCCACATGGGATTGTTTTGAGAATCTACTAAGCTATTATTTAGAAGTGACTTAACCTAGAAGCTGAGATTTAGCTTCAAGTCAATAAATGGTAGCTATATTAATTTATATCTTTGGTTTCAATATCAAGTCATTAAACTGTTTTCTGGGTTCTGTAAGTTAAATGACACTAATATGAATCAGCTGAAAATACAAATTAAGCATATCAATTAAAATTTTACAGATCTATGGCATGTAAAGGTACAAGATCCCAGTAATGAATGTAACTGTACTGTCTACCTAGAATGTACCAATAAATTAAATTTTTAAAAAAATTTTACAGATCTAGTAATAGTATAGAACTACAACAAGAACAGCTTCCTAAGAATTTAGAAGATGGCGTTGGTCAATGAGAAATCTTGATAACGTAACGATATTGTCCTTTTTACCCAAACCCTGATTGTCCACCAGGATTATTGCTAGGCCTGTGAAGTTGTTGAAGTGTCTGGAACAGAGCAGAGAATTCTGCCATGCTGGCGGACCCAGCGCAATGCTTGTCAACATCCTGCACACCTGAACCAGCGATACTAAACCACTAGTGCCTCTTGCTGAATAGTGCACCCCAATGAAAACATGATGGCCCCTCACCTCACTGAAGCACATGACCTGAGATCCAGGATTTCTACAGAGCAGGATTTCCTGGAGATTTTTCTAAGATTGTTTTTTGGTCTGAAATTTTCTACTGATTTTCCCTGTCAGCAACATTGAGCATTTACCCTGTCAGGTAAAATAAGAGACAAAAATCTCTAACTTCAAAATGCAAAAGACAATACTACCTAGAAGAGCAATACTTTTCTAATTATTGAAATCATGTGAAGAGTAGGCAAGAGATTAATGAAAAGACATAATCTTTAAATCTTAATTAACATTTTCGTGGCCTCTTTCCTCAGTCAATGAACTAGAGCTAGATATCAAGTGCAACATTTGTTCCCACATTCTAAGTGTTCCTATCTGTTCTCTAGTGAAAACAAATATGCAAAAAACATGGACACACCATTCCCAGAATGTATAAGACTGGCTCCTAGAAAAGCTTGTGTCTAAGGTGCTTCTAATCAGAATTCCCTATAAACTACTCCAAACCATGCCATTAAGATGTTCTTGTTTTCCTAAACTCCTTCATGGAGGAAACAAACAACTAACACGTGTCTTCATGGCACACACAGTAAGTCTCTTCCCTCTGGTTCCACTATAAACAAAATAATAGCTACAATTGTCTTTATAAAAATAACTCTTCACAATCTTGAAAGTGTCATAGGGTGTAGTGGGGAGAACACATACATATAAAATGGTTAGTGGTGTGCTACAGCTTTTTCTGCAGATGAGTTACTGATATTCAAATAATGGCGGGTGAGCAGCAGTGGAGAAGGAAGGGAGGGCACAGAATCATGGAGAAATCTGTGGATTCAGCTTATATCTTTCTAGAGACAAGAGACAGCCACCACCTCTTCATGCTTTGTCAGCCCAGAAACACTTCTGGGGGTATCATAGCCTTTTAAAGCAATAAGCTGAGTACGACGGCAGGAGGACTGCTGAAATTGATCAGGTTGGATTCCATGAGCTCAACTGTTCAACTTTCAAAGAGTCTCTGAACACACTGGGTTTCATCATAATCGAAGGCTCCAACTTGAGCTTGGCTTTGGCCTCATTAATTTAGATGTGTAAGTGCTGAAGATGAAGCCCAGGCCCTCACGCATACTGAGCACATGCTCTACCTCTGAGCTACACCCCTAGCTCATTGGCTTACGCTTAAAAGCCAGAGATAAAACCCTAGTCTGGGCCTGCCATTAAAGACATGGTTCAGCCCATCTCTGCTTGCAACCTGTCTTATTTTCCACTGTACTCCCAATACCACACAGGACTTGCCCAAAGCCAACAAGCAATAAAAATGTATTCAATAGATGAAACATTGTAAGATGTAAAATGACCAAGTGATGAAAGTACGATAAAGAAAATAAGGTCAAGATATAGCAAAGAATGACCTGTGGTTTACATCTGCCAGATTCTAAGCCTCAGAGAATAACGATCATTCAGCAGCTGCCTGGCCAGCTGGCAAAGTGTTAGTAGAGGAGACTCTAGAAAGATAAGGCATGAACAGGGAATGCTGTGGGGGTGGTGAGAAAAGGGATGATGGCAGTGGGGCTACATATAAGAAATGAACCCTTAAACACACAGTGTCTGGTCTGCTAAGGTTGTCACAAGTAATTCATAAAAGACAAAAACTCACAAAAATATACAAACACCTCAGGATGTGAAGTACTAGAAAACCTACATGCTAATTGCCTGATTATTATAAGATCAATAGCAAAATGTAGTTACTAAACACAAAACATCAAAAAACCTTTAAAATGTCTTATTTTCACATTTTAAAAATTTACCCCCCCCATTCTACTAGATTTCAGGTTGAATGCTCTAATTTGAACAAATGAATATTCATATTTTACTTTCACCTGAGAGTTACAGAACCCTAAAACACACTCACCATGGCTCCTCTATAGTAAGCGGTTGTGATTGTTCGGAATCTTTCCTGACCTGCTGTGTCCCTAAAATTTGAAACAAAGGAGAGAATGGTTTGAAAAGTCATCATCAGCATCACTGAGCAGAGGTCCCAAGCTAGAGGTGATGGACTTTGAGTCTACTCACAGCACAGTGGTTGCAGGGGAGAAGGGAAAACAAAAATAAAGGGAGCCCATTGTGCATCTGTGAGCTGGAGGCGGCAGTGGCCACAGAAACCTGTCAGAGCTCACCGTGACTTGGATGAAAAATTTGGACCTTGATGATAAAAGTAGCAACAGGAAAATACACAGGTCCTGCTAGCAATTGGCAAGTCATATTAGTCAAACACATGTGGGAGGAAGAGAGAATAGTTCTAAGTTCTTAGATTCCCAGAGGTGGCAATAATCCTTTACTTAAATGCTTAATGATTAAGGCATTTTGCTTTCTTGACTGAATGTGTGATTTCTTCACAAAGCAAATAGCTGAACTGGATTTAGTACTGTGTACATTCTGCTCAGCAGATCAAAATACAATAGATCTCCTCCAGAACTTGTTCAGCAGTAGAGGCTATGATTACACAGAGGCCTGCAACTCAAGAGATCATTTTTGATGATGCTTCCAAAGACTTAAACATGAAGGAGCACTTTGAAATTATTTAAGCTTCCATATATTTCTGCTTTTTAGCTAAAAACATACTATTAAAATATATTCTGACATGGGGCCAGGGATTTAGCTCGGTGGTGCCTCTGCCTGCCTCACAAGCACAAGGGCCTGAGTTTGATCCCCAGTACAAAATGTGTGTGTGTGTGTGTGTGTGTGTGTGTGTGTGTATTCTGACATGCTGCAGGTGTAGCTCAGTAATACAGCAATTGCCTAGTAAGCACAAGGGCCCAGGGTTCAATCCCCAGCACTGCAAAAATAAACAAGTATATATGCATAAAACAAAGTTTCTAATTACACTCACAGCAGCAATCCTACCCAAAAAAAGTCACAATTCCTTGATATTTGGGGAAATCGATATTCTCAAATTTGCTACTTATGAGCCTGAACTAATTCACTCCTTACAATTTAATTGCAAGGGAGAAAGAGTCATCTGCAGACATATATTAGAAATTGTTTCAATTTTAGTACATGTGCTGCCGAAGAGAGCACTAGAAATCTAATACACACGAAATCCAAACCAGGGATTAAAAGTCCAAGGGAAACATAGTAAATTAAAAACAATAAATACTTTAGCATTTATGTTTACTTACAACATATTCTCACAATGTGCTCACACGATGCAATCCCACCCAGCGTGTGTGTGTGTGTGTGTGTGTGTGTGTGTTTGTGTGTCTGATTACTGTTATCCTCATTCTGCAAAAGAGGAAACAAGCTCCCACCTCTGCCACTAAATAGCTCAGACCCTTGAGTGAGACTCAAGCATCCCAGAGCTCAGCTATTTAGCCAAAGGCCATGTCTAGCCTTAGTTCCCTACTCTCTCACCGATCAGGATCAAATAAATGTTTGGGGCCCTTGCTTTATGCATGGCAACTAATCATGGGGAAAACAGAAGCCAAGCACCTTTGAGCATGGCAATGATACTTTCCTGACTGATTTAGGATCAGCTTTGTGGTGAGGATAAAGAAGAAACTGTACCACACTAAATGTGGGCTGTGAGGACAGAGACGGCCGTGACGTTCTGGCTACTGGATTTACACATTTTGTGTTACCACAGGGAAATATCCAAGGCATGTCACTTTATCTAAAAAAAGGGTTCATTTAGCTCAGTTGACAGTAGTAGGAACATGAATGGAAGAAAGGGCCCATCTCGGACAGGAAGCCAGAGGGAGCAACTCAGGTTCATGCTTTTGTAACAAATGGCTCTCATGAGGACTCACTTCTGAAAGACCAGTATTTCCTTCAGAGGGTGGCACCCTCAATGACCTAAGGTCCTTCCATTCAGATGCACCTCTTACAGATTCCACACCATCTCCCACTGCCTCACAGAGGACCAAGCTTCCAACACGTGGGCCCTTGGGGAACAAACCACACCCCAACCACTGCAACTATGCTGGACAAAGTTCTAATCAGCTGACCACCCACAGGCTCCTAGAAACATTCTTTATTGCTATGATCAGGACTATATAGCACAGAATCAGAAATTCTCCTGGCTTCCCTCCTTATAAAAATTGTTTTATATTTTTAAAACATTAGGCTTCACACTATGACAAGAAGAAAAGGGTAGCCTGTGTGAAGCTTCCAATGAAGTACACTGGGAACCACTAAGTCAGGCTAATATATGGTACTGACACTATGTCCCAGGAGATTGGAGTGACTGCCCCAGCACTACCACTAACCCAGACATCTGTCTTCTGATGAACAGAACTACTCTTTGTCTCCTCTCAATAAAAGAAAGGTGGAGAACTTTAATATAACACTCTTTCCCAGTTTTGAGATTCAAAGAAAAAGAACCTACAGAAAAAGCTGATAAATATATAGGTTGAAGATCAGAAATCTGAAATGCTCCAAAATCTTGGTACTTTTTGTGTACCAACACGATCCCACAAGTGGAAAATTCCATACCATAATGTTTGGTTTTATATTTGAAATACTGTATGAAATTACCTCTCAGTGAAGGTGTATGAAATAAATTAATTTTGTGTTTAGACATGGGTTCCACTCCCAAGATATTTCATTGTATATATGCAAACATTCCAAAATCTGAGCTCCAAAAGACTTCTGATCCCAAGCATTTTGGGTGAGGGATAGTCAACCTGTACTTCACTCTGCAGCCCTGCCCCCTTGTTAGTTTGTGGCACTCTGAATTTGTAAGTTTTGTTTACTGCTGTCATTACATATTAGATCAGCAAACATCATCAAAAACCTTCCTCAAGGCTCCAGCTCTCTATGGCTCCACACTAGGCATCACACTGAAAGAAATTAAACTTATTTCTAGGAGGTTAAAAAAAAACTAAAAGGAGCTTCTGGGTTCGAGTAAAAGATACTCAACGTGTCAGTGTGAAAGTATCACATTTATTCATTGTAGTTTAACAAATTCTTTAGCTATTTGCCGCCCAGAGTTGTATAAGGAAATTGTTGCCTTGCACATTCCAACATGAGAGATGGGAGATATGCCATAGATCTAATATTTATGTTCCTCTAAAATCCGTACCTAGAAGCCTAATCCTCAATGGGATGGTATTTGAACGGGGGGCCTTTGGTCAGAGTTTCAGGAAAGTGGAGCCCTCATGAACTGAACTGGTGTTCTTTTTTTTTTTTCAGTACCGGAAAGTGAACTCTGGACTTTGCACTTACAAGGCAGGCACTGGAACCACTGAGCTAAATCCCCTGCCCTGAACTGGTATTCTTAAGAGCAGAGATATCAGAGAGATGATATCTATCTGAGCCATATGACGAATCATCTTCAAGCCTGGAAGTAGACCATCTCTGTTAAGACTCTGGATCAGCTGCCACCTTGATCTTGGATCTCACACACTCTAAAATGTGAGAAATATGAAATGTGATCAAAATATATAATGTTTAATTTTTAAAAATGTATTACAGTAAATGATACACTGCCATTAACTTCCTCAAAGTACTTCCCTTGCTTCAAACACAATTTTCCCATCGTTCCTGCCACTCTCTGAAGAAGTTTGGAAGTCTTCTCTTGTGAGTGTTTTTAGTTGTGCTGTCCTAGCTGGCATGTCCTGAAATGATTCAAAATGTTTGCCTCGCACAGTCGCGCTGATTGGGAGAAGATGCACAATGCCAGATCTTTTGAATGAGGCAGATGAGGACATACGATAATGTTTTTGACATAAATTGCCATAAATGTTTTGAATCAATTCAAGATGTCACAGCAGCCAAGAAAAGACACTCATGAAAGAGGACTTTCAGAACTGCTTTAGATAGTGTCAAAAATAATGGGATGAATATGCCTGAAATATGGGGGAATACTTTGAGGGGGATGGATGGCAATGTTTCTTTTAATTTAAACATTAACTATATTTTTAATTATAATCAATTATTTAAGACACCCAATCTATGGCACTTTTGTTACAGGACCTGTGAGAGTGTGATACAAGAAGAAATATGAATTTGGTCTCTGACACAACTAGCTTCCTGGCACACAGCTCCTAAAACTGCTGGGCTCTCAGAAGCAATGTGTCTTTTTGCATGCTAATGAGATGGCTAGTGCTAGGGCTCCTGGCTGGCCTCAGGATGGGGGCTCTTTGTCAAGAGCATAATCCTGAGATTAGAGTGCCAGAATCTTTTAAAAAAGAGTTGAGCTGACTACCAATGGCCAGTGATGTAGTTAACTGTGCCTATGTAGTGAAGTCTCCACAAAAACCCAGAGAACAGAATTCAGGGAATTTCTAGACATCAGATCAGTGGAGGTGCTAGGAAGGCTGCATGCCCAGACAGGGCACGGAAGCTCTAAAACCCCTCCTACAGAGCTTGCCTTGCACATCTCTTCCATCTGGCTGTTCCCCCAGCCTATAAAAATGGGTAAATGTGTTTCTCTAGGTTCTGTGATCATAATCCAGGAGAGGGTTGTGGGACAGTAACTACTTACTACTTGCAACTGGCATCAGTAGTGGGGGGGGGGGGCTGAGGGACTAAGTGCTTACTTAACCTGTGAGACCTAAGCTATTTCTAGGAAGGAAGTACAGAGGGGGGGGGCAGTGACTAAGTGCTTACTTAACCTGTGAGACCTAAGCTATTTCTAGGAAGGAAGTACAGAACACCCATTTGGATAACTGCTTGGTATGTGAAGAAAAAAACCCCATATGTCTGGTATCAGAAGTGTTGTGTTGTATATAAGAGAGAACATTTATGTTATTTTATTTTATTTATTTAGTTTGGTACCAGGGATTGATTGATTGATTGACTGTTTTGGTACCAGGGATCAAACTTGGGTCCTTGTGCTCGCGAGGCAGGTGCTGGAACCACTGAGCTAAATTCCCGGCCTTTTGTTTTATTTTTTGAGACAGGATCTCACTATATATCCCAATCTGGCCCCAAATCCAACTTCTCAGCTTCCTGAGTACTAGGATTGGAGATATACACCATGGGGTCTGGCTTCTTTTTTAATACAGAGTAGCTTAAATTAATGCCTTATTTTATCCTTAAGTATTTTTCTATTTAATGAGAGAAACATGCAAATAAATTATAAAATATCAGAGTTAGAGAAGAACTCCAGTGCCACCAGTCCAACCAATTTACAAGTGAGGAAAGCAGATCCTGAGAAGGTGCTATGGTTTGGATACATGCTCTTGAAGGCGCCATATGTGAAAAGCTTGGTCCCTAGGGTAGCAATATTGGGAGGTGATGAAACCTTTGTGGGCAGGGCTAGTGGGAGGTCCTTATAACACCTGGATCAAGCCCTTCAAGAGGACTGTGGGACACCAGCCCCTTCCTATCTCTCTCTTGCTCTTGAGTTCACTAGGTGAGGCATCTGCTCTATGTGCACCCAACCATTGTTTTCTTTTTGGCACCCATCAGAGGCCCAAACCAATGGGTCCACCAGAGCCTGAACTGGAACCTCCTGAACTATGAGCCAAATTAAGCCTTTTCTCTTTATAAGTTACTTATCTGAGGTCTTTGATTACAGAGACAAAAAGCTAACTAATATAGAAGAGAAACTATTGGCCCGAAGTCCTCAATTTAGAGCACTGCAGCTATAACCCAGATCTACACTTTCTGCTTGGTGTTCATACCACTTGATCATTTTTGTCTTATCTGATTTTACAGCTACAAAAACTGCAATAAAAAAGTAATTTACACATTTCAAAATTTAGTTTCCTACTGGGCCGGAGATTTAGATCAGCGGCACCACGCCTGCCTTGTGGTCCTGAGTTCAATCCCCAGTACTGGAAAAAAAAAAATTCGTTTCTCTCTGTATAAAATTAGAGCTTGGGAAGAACAAGTTCCCATAACTCTTCTGGCTCCAAGAGTCAGTGGTACCATTTCACCTCACCAGTCTTTCTGGAGATACCTTTGAAGGAAGCTTAGTACTTACCCATTTCCCCTTGGTTCTGAAAAAGAAAAGATGTTTTAGCCTCTGACTTATCATAATTTACATTTTAACTCCCACTTTCAATTCCTGATTAAAGTAGAAATGGTGCTGTTGTTTTTTTTTTACTTACCATATCTGAAGCTTAATTTTCTTTCCATCGAGTTCTATCGTTCTGATTTTAAAATCAATTCCTGCAAGAAAAACAAAGAAAGATACGCTGTTTCTTCAGATCTAATCCAAGTCTTATTAGAAAGAGGACAAAGATTTCTATTGAAAAAAAAGCTCTCCAACGCACTGGAAAATGTGAACAGAAAGAGGGTGTGAATGGTATGTTTCCTCTGAATACAGGCTAGAGAAAGGAATGCTAATTGCTCTGCAAAGAATTCCCACACATGTTAAATGCTACGTATTCTTTGCCTCATTATTTTGACACAAATGGACCACATCCTGCAAAGTTACATAATTTAGATAGATTGAGAACATGCCATATTTTCTACTTCCTGAAATACATATAAACAATGCTTCCACCCTCTCTCTCCATCCTTCTCTAAAGAAAGCTATGGGACTGATTCCAAATGTCTTTCTCCATATTTGTTCATTTGTTTCTTTGGAACCTGCAACTAAGAGGAAGGCTACTTATTTGAAGGCTAGGGAGGGAAAACCTGCATTTTATTTTATACACACTTAGGGAGTGTTTTATGTACATTTAAATAAATGTTTCCACAGATGACTACCTAGAATTGAAATAGCTGCAATGGTTTTTAGTTCTGGCTGCACTTCAGAATTACTTGGAGAGTTTAACAAATAAAGCAAAGCAAAACAAAACACTTCATGACTAGAACTGCTTCCTTCCCCAAATTCTGAGGTGCTGACTTAACTGGTCAAGGGTTAAAAGCTCCCCAAAGTTAAGAAACGCTCACCACGGTGTGCCAGGTGGCATGTGAAAGTTATCTGAGGCGCTGATGCTTCAAAATTTCAACCATCATCTTCACCTATTTCCCTTCTCTGAGGCAACTTAAAACCAAATTAGAGATTTCTACATACAGTGGATCCTTAACGCGAACTCAACTGGTTCCTGAGGGCTGGTTATAACTTAAGTTGGTTAAGTTAATATAGCTGAAATCTGGATGTTTACCTGAGTACATGCTACAGATAACAAGAGGCAGATGAATCGTCAATTAACCTAATTAACCCAAGTAATTCGTATGTCAGGCCAGTTGTAACTTGAGGGTCCACTACTACAAAGAACCACAAAGCCCTCGACAACTATCAGCACATTCTATATACACTGGGAAGAAGCTTTCTGGGAGATGAGCTGGTAAATGCAACTGGGATGCAGTTTGCTAAGTCTTCATCATCTGGCTACACAGCTTTTAGCTTTGTCTCTTCTTTTGCTTCTATACAGAACTCCTTAAAGTGGTCTCCAAGATATCTTGAGAAAGCAAGTGAATTATGCATTCTCTAGATTGTCATTAACTGCGGTTATTTGGGGTGAAAGGGCCTTCAACAGCTCTGTTTCTTCAGCTAGAGACTGAAAGCACCCAAAAAAAGGCCACTTTCCAGCTCCAGCTTTATTGAATAATGCATAGGATTAAACCAATTGCATTTTCCTCTTCTTCTCTGGTTCTTTGCCCTAAGGAAGCCTTTTTAGGTAACTCTTGTGAATCTCAAAACAGACAAAAATCACACCCAAGCTAATCTAGCAAAACAGCCTCTTAATCATTCTTTCCTCCCAGTAATCATCATAAGTTGTTAACAAATACAATCTGGTGCCCGATATTCCCAGGACATACGGCTCCTGCATCTCTCTAAAGCACCATTCTCAGTATGGCAGGGCCTGAGTGGTGGAAGCAAAACTTAGCGCCACAGCAAGAATATTACTGCTACCATCCCACAGAATTTATCATTGCCATTGCTCACTTAAGACTTAACAGATGTTGGTTTTTATTGTGATTTATCTTTTTATATACCTACAAATTCAATGGAATAAAGACCTCTAGAGACTCTGCTCAAGGCTTTCTCTCCTTCTAGTCCAGGTCCAGCATCACACAATGCTTCATATCTGGTAGGCACTCGTGTTTCTCAAGATTAACTAAAAAAATTCATGACTTTCCAAATCCACAGAAATAGAAAGGAGAATGGTAGTAACCAGGGGATGGAAGGAGGGGAAAAGAAGTTGTTTAATTTCCGATTTGCAAGTTTTGGAGATCAGCTGTACAATGTAAATGTACTTACCACTCAAGGGTACCCTTAAAAATGGTAAAGATGGCAAAATTTATGATTTTTTTTTACCATGTTAAAGCAAATAAAATTTGATCCAAGAAAGCCTTCTTACTCATGCACCCCATTTCTGGCAGAAGGAACTGCAACTTAACTTAGTACTAAACAGAGAACTGAACTTAGGAATTCGCCTTTACAAAAATGACTGGGTCTCAAGCACAGCAGCCGACCTTTAGTCAAACCAGGTTCAAATAAGGTAAATGCCAAGTTTTAACCAATTGCACTGCCTCTGTACTTCATTTCATTTTTTGTACATAACTTCCTTTTTTCTGTCAGTCACTTCCCCCTTTCTTTTAAATGTTACTCAGCTATGTGCAGTCTCAGTCTCACTGAACCTATCCTCATTTTAGGGGCTGCCCAACTCATGAATTCTCTTTTGTTCAATTAAACTTCATTAAATTTGTCTAAAATATTTCTTTTTAATAAAACCAAAATAAAAGAAAAAAATGCCTAACTTCTAGAATGTCTACTGGAAATATAGCTAATTTGGAGGACAAATGTCCAGCATTTCATCATTAAAAATTATTCACATTTTAAGGCCAGGGATTTAGCTCAGTGGTTCTGCTGCCTGCCTTGCAAGCACAAGGGTCCCAGTTCAATTCCCAGCACTAAATAAATAAATAAATAAATAAATATAAATACACACACACGCGCGCGCACACACACACACACACACACACACACACACACACACATTGGAAAGCATTGAATTGGGAAGTCAAAAGATGTAGACTGCAGGTTTATCAACTTTTGGGCTGATCTCATAACTGCTCTATCCCTCTCTAACTTCAACCCTAATAAAGGTTGGGAGGATCTAATTAGTTAGAATATGAGTGCAAGCAGCTTTGGGAATTCTGAAATTCCATATAAAGCTAAGGTCCTGTTATGCAACAGCTCTTGTCATTTCATGCGTGATTACTGGGAACAGTTTCCCAGAAAGTTGCGCCAACCTCTCTCCTCATCTAACTCCCCATGTGCCTCTGCCAGAGTAACTTCCAACAATCCCTGTGGACAGGACAGTGACAAAGGCCTCCAGCAGCCTGGCAGCCCTTTCCTCTGATGTGCTGTTCAGACACTGCCCCCTCAGAGTTCCTTCAGCACAGGCCTTCTTCCACACCTTCTTTCCCCTGCTCCCTAGTCACTCTGCAGACTTCTTAAAGAATGCCATGCCACCGTGCCTTCTCTCCTCAGCTTTCCACTCTACCATGTCTATACCTGCCTAAAGGCTCAGCGTTTTTTTTGTTTTGTTTTGTTTTGGTACTGGGGGTCAAACTTGGGACTGTGCACTTTCGAGGCAGGCAGCGGAACCACTGAGCTAAATCCCTGGCCCAAGACCCAGCTTTTGCAGTGACATGATCCTGTGTCACGGAGTTTTGCTCACATACTACTCTGTAACTGCTTTCAAATCAGGCGAAGCCCCATCCTCTCTGCCAGTTAAGTATAGAAACAGAAACACATATACAGTAGACATGAAATTAAAAGTTATGTACTGTCACACATTTAAGTAAAAGTTAAATACCACTAAGCATGAGGATGTTAAAACAACCTTATAAGTTCAGTTTTAAAACAATAAATAGTTAAGATGTGCAGAAATCTTTTTCCAATGAGAAAATGAAGATGTTTACACTATAATCAGTTCAATGATGCTATCAGTAAAACTATGGAGTAGATTAACATTCACTGCAAAATTCAAAGAAAAGGTAATGTTTGGAGGCTACTCGAGGGTTAAAAGAATAATAAACCATAAAATTACATCAACTAGGATGCTTTCAGCCACAAAGAACAGAAACCCCAAATCAAACTAGCTTAAGGTAATTTGTTGACTCATGTAACACGCCCAGTCGATGAGCTGGGGGTTAGGGCTCATTTCTCTGTGCCTCCTTGGCTCTGCCTCCTGGGAGTATCAATGTTAGCTCCTGACAGGCAGCAGTTCCTGACCACAACAGCAATACCAAGAAAAGGGGTCATCTTCCTGTGCCTCGCTCTTAAAAGTGAGAGTGTGTTTCCCATATGCCTCCAAGGACTTTTCCTTTGTGTCGTATTTGCAGATTATAAGCACGGTAATGTGTTGGTAATGTGTTGTAAGACCAAATCCCCAAACCAATCACTGTCACAAGGAGTTATCACTTCTAAATTCAGGTTAATAAAGGCCTATCCTTGGAGCTGGGTTCCCCCAGTCCATAAGGCAGCTAAAAAAAAGAGCATTGAGAATGGAAAAGCTGCTGGCACCAAGCATAATATCCTTTACAATGGTACTCAAATCTATTGGCAAATTTTTACATCCACAGCTATACGAAGTGAACAAATCCTAACACAGCTCTTACTTCTACTCTGTCATGAATATTACACTCACTGATAAACTGTAGTCCTTCTCCAGAGGTAACTGCATCTATTGTTCAAACAAGAACCAGAAAATAAGAAAGAAAGGAAAAAAAAATGATGAGCAACCCAAGGAGCTTCCATGACATCTGTAGGCTGCTGCAGGCCCACCTGGCTCATCTCTCAGCCTCCAGTGAGCCGAGGCTGAAAAGGAGACTGTCAGGCTGACAGATCAAGAGCCACAATTTGTCCAGGCAGGGCAGGAGTGACTTTTTTTTTTTTTTTTTTTAAGTACTACAGAATTTCAAAAACATAGCTCCGCAGACACATTACATTTAGGGTCAAAAAGTCCTTCATATTTCACGCACCTTTTAAAGAGCATCATTTTCTGGCAGCACACAGCACAGTAATTCATGTTCAGAATGGCAGCCTTGAGTCATCCTGACTCATGAGCAATCCATGACCCAGCCAGCTGTGTGAAGCTGACCCACCAGGCCACACAACCCAACATCTCAGTCAGAAGACAGCACTCCAAAGCTGCTTCCACGCTGATCAACATTATCTTTTTTCTGATGGCTTTAAAGCAGTCCCA